CCTATATTTATTTCCGCTTAATTCAGATCAAAACAATCATCGCCTAAGCGCTGCATTGGTAATCTGCATGTGTGTTTTCACTCCTCCAAGCACTGTGTGCACCAACTAAACCCTCAGTTGATCATATGTCTCCTGTTTGCATACATACTGTGCATAATGTTGTGTTTGCAAATATGTGTGTGTGTGTGTGCGTGTGCGTGTGCGTGTGTGTGCCCCACCGTATTATAGTCTTTGTGTATGCATAACATCTCGGCACATTTATGAGTGCATGTGTGTGTGCCTTGCAGGAATCTCCAGACAAAGGGGCCCGGTGCAATGCTATTAGTCACAGAGCTAACAGTTCAAAGATAGCTGACTCACTTGTGTGTGTGTGTGTGTGTGTGTGTGTGTGTGAGAGAGAGAGAGAGAGACACACTTCAAAGATGGCGGGCCGGCTCATTAACATTGCATCCTCCGAGGATGTCTCACACTTAAACTGGTTGATTGTTTAAGTGTGAGACATAGACAAAGAGTGACTGTGTGAGTTTGAGTGAGTGAGTGAGAGAGACTGTGTGTGTGTGTCTGCATTAGGAAATGAAGGAAAGACAAACGCTTCGTTCAAGGTTATTTACTCTTTCTCCACATTTCTCTTAAAACCACTCAAAAACACACTCCCACTCTCTTTTTTTATTGTCACTGATTTTTTTTCCCCTCTTCTTTTCTTTTCGAGTGCGATGCCTTTGAGGGATGTGCTGGATTTTTTGACAATAATCTTATTTCTTGAATTCACTTTGTGTCTGATGGCCTCCTTATTCTCTCCCTCTAGCCCCATCTCACCATCTAAGCTCCTCAGTCTCCCTCTTTCCCTCCTTTGCCCTCCTGCCTTTCTTCTTTTCCTCTCCCTTTACCATTCTCTCTGTCCAACCACGCCGCACATGAACTGAGCGGGACAGAACTAAGACGAGGAAAAGTTTTCCCCATGCATACAAATGTGCATTTTTGCAGGATGGGACTGCGATCAATGCACATGAGAGCATGTGATATAATGCATTCACACACAGATATCTCACGGGTCTTGCATGCAGCAATGGAACAGGGTGTATACGTCTATGCTTGCATGCAAGAACATTTACAGCAGCTAACAAATAAGCTAATTACTCAGGAACAAGCAATCCACCATGAGTAAGATGAACTGAGTCAGTGAAGTAGCAGCAAATTATGGTCAACGCCTGACATAAGACAAACTACTCCAACAAGCAGTTTTAGGAAAATAATTCAATAAATAAGGCAATGTTTTACTTTCTTCCCTTTAAACAACATTTTCTTTATCCGACTCACAGGAGCTCGACACCAATTACTTTGATTTATACTCTTAAAGTACTCTGAGATATTCAGCGGGTGACAGAGAAATGTATCAGATTCATCTCAAGCTTGCATGTAAACACAGGCGCACACAATAAGCAAGAATAAAGACACTGTGAAAGGAAAGTAAAAACTCATTTGGACCAAAGCTGAGCTCTGAATCTAACCGAATTAGAGTGATGGAGAGAACGAGCTCTTCGGTAAGTTGTGTGTGAAAAAAAAAAAAAGCCTCCCGGTGTTTGTGCAGTAAATATCGAGGGTGGATTGCAGAAGAAACGAGCCTCTCTCTGCATAAAGTATTCCAGTGCCGACTGAAAAGAAAAGCAGATCATTAGAATAAACAGAGACGTTATCCACACTATTGTGTGTTTAATAGGAGCGACTTCCATGCCACAGTTTGGAGATACAGACCGAGATACTGACAGAGAGGCAGCGGTCCCAGCGGCTGTATAGTGTATGTCAAAACTGAAAACTAACTTTTATTGGCAAGGGTAGGACTGGCTGGGAAGCTAAATGACAAATATTTGATCATATAATCTCCCACCTGTTCACCAGTTTACAGAGACTGGGAGAGAAAGGACGACCTGACGATAAGGGTGACAGGACATCAGGAGGTAAACAAAGAGGAGGAAAGATGTGTGGGAGCAATAGTAACTGGGGAGACGTAATAGAAGGGTTATGAAAGGATCAAATAGCTAAAAATAAAGATGAACTTGACAGGGCAGGAGAAAATCAGCATTAGCTGAATTTAATTAGTTGATCAAAATAATAGGGCAGAAAATAGATACCTAATTATATTTGATCTGTCCGGTAATTATATTTCCGGCTCTGCAAAAATGTGAGTTCACACACACGCAGGCACAAAGTGTTACATTCTCAGCCACACATGGTGACATAATGAGTGTCCTGTGGAAAAGTGCAAACAGGGTCTCGCACACAATATTTCACATTTGTGGCGCCAGCCGGCTCACTGATAATACATCATAAAAAATATGTGGCTGCGACTGAGGGGAAAAGAAGTCTCCATTAATTTTTTTTTCTTCTTTAAAGGAAAAAAAAAAACTTTTGGGAAGAAATGTCAAGTATGCCAATATGTCAGCAGGTTTCTGTGAGAATGTGACAAATTTGCCTTTATTCAAGCGTGTGTGTGTTTGTGCGCCTCTCTCTCGGAGACTTGAATCTGTTGGCCCCTGATGCACATGAGAGTATCTCCATGCAGACAGGAGACAAGAGAAGCAGACAGAGGTAAAGAAACAGAGAGGAGACGAGAGGACAGACCAATATCACGGTTTTCTTCATCGTTTGCAACTGTCAGTTGTAACCAAGCATGTGACAGAATTTGAGTGTGTGCGCGCGCTCACTTGCACTTGTGCCCCTACAGGGACATTGTTGGGCTTTTTGATTTAAAAACGGATCATTTTGGCTGTGGTCATGCATATGGCTTCAACATCAGCTCCTATAATAAGTCTATAATGAACTGTGTAGCCAAAATAGAGGCACTCGGACACTTAAGGACAAAAATGTCCCTATTGAGACCCATCAAAACCCCTTTGATCCCACGGCCACTAAAGCATGCATTCTATTATATCAGGGTTCAATCCAGAGCGCTGGCTTCAGAATTGTAGTTTTTTACTATTTTCTAAATGAATGTTGTGGTTGTATTTCCCTTTTGTAGATGTAGTCCTCAGAAATCCAGTTAAACTACAGGAGGACAAGAATGGCATGTACGTATGTGTGTAACGAGGACAAACTTCTGTACCTTAGATCTGAGCGGCTCTGGGAATCCTCCATGTGGTATCCCGATGTATCCCTGCAGGAACTCGACCACAGACAGGGGGAAGGACAGCTCGTCCGCCCTCTCCTCCACTTCTGCCCGGGTCAGGTTGTTCTGCACCATGAACTGAGCCAAGTCACCCACGATCTTTGAGGACGGAGTCACCTGTGAGAGAAAGAGATAGACGTTTGAGTACCAAACGTGTGTGTTGAATCTCTACTTCTGTTATTAAGGAGAAGAAAGGAAGCGGATGATAAAGAAAAGAGCTAATCTCAGCTCAGCCCTCAGTAACCTATTTCTATTTCTCCACGGACTGAGCACAAGATATTAGATATTAAAGTGCACGCAGATGATATCTCAGTTTGCTCGGGCGGAGGAGAGGTGATATTATTTCTCTCTGGCCTTTTAATCTAAACCAACAGAAAAAAAAAAATCTCGCAGAGAGAATATATTCAAGATTATATTACAGTTTTTCATGGTGAAATCTTGCTTTTAGTTTGATTCCAAGAAGCAGAAGTCGCTGCAGCTGTTGGTCTGACTGCACCATTTTTCTCTGTAAAGTCCTGCTGTGTGGTTTCCTGTCAGCAGCGAGCAGGTAGGAATGCACATCCGCAGTGATTCCACCAACAGAGGTGACAGAGTCTCTGCTTTAATGAAGATGCTGTCTATTAAGATTAAGTACTGAATGACCCCAGAGGGGGAAAAAAAGGAGGTGTTTGGACAGCAGAATGAGAAATGAGTAGATGTTTACATCTGTACAGTCTCTTTAATCATTTGATTTGGCAGCCATGAACTGAACCACACAGGTTCTCTCTGTGGAAACAGAGTGAACCGGAAAAATAAAGAGGGAAAAATGCGGAAAACATTTATTTAAGTCGCATGTATTTATTCTTTCATTATTTATAATGGCATATGATCATAGTAATAGCGATCCCTATTAGCATAATGGTGATAAGTGGAGTCTGTTTTTGATGGCGAACAGGACACAAATATCAAATTGCACATATTACTCTTCTATCGTAATGAATGGAGACACAGATTTAAGGCTTCCTGTTTAACGTCATTTGGTATTCAGACCATTAAAGAGAGAAAGGGATCAAGTAATACGACCCATCGATAAAAATAAAACGAATAAAACAATGTGAAACCCACCTTTGGGTAACTTTCTGTCCCTCACACAGATATTTCTGTACTTCATCCTAAAATGACACAATGAGATAACAGAAAACAGAAACTCTCTGATCTCGGGACCTGAACTCTTCAAATACAAAGCCAGTCTCACATGTCAGAGCCACCAGCAGAGTCCCATGGTCTGTATATTAGACTGACTTGTAGTTAGAAGGAGCTGTATGCTGAAGCATTGACGTAGAACTAGAGAAAACAAAGAGTGGGCCCACAGTCACTACAAGATGCCTATTTATGTGGCAATGCACTCTGTTGACAGAGAAAGAAAAAGTAACATATGGATCAAATTTACATTCCCCAAAGAATTTCCCAACACAGAACTAGACACTTATTTTTTCAGAGATAAGATGCCAAACTGAAGCACGGGACTTGACGCGTACACACGTGTGCTCATTCACAAACACCGGTCTGGGATTACCAAACCCCCCCGGGGCTTATATGTTCGTGAGGCTGATCTCCTGAGATCACTTTAGTCTTTGAACAAGCGCAGTCTAACTTGTGTGTTTTCTGTAAGTGCCTTTGGTCTCTAAAAATACAAACCACCTTATTCTAACCTCGTTGTAGAAAGTAAATGACATCAGTGCCAACACATGAGTGTTAATGAACAGAATGCTACGCTGTAAGATAAAGTTTGAATCAAAGCATGTTCTATGTATAATATTGTCATTTGTCCTTAAAGTAAAAGTGTAGCATACTGCCTCGGCACCGAGACTAAAAGAGAACAGTAGCAATTAGTGTCTAAAGTTTATTTTTCTCTTTTTATAATGTAAAATTGAAGCGGCGGTGGCTGTAATATCCTGACGTTCAGTCAATAATATGGATCATCAAGCTCCAAAAAACAATCAATCCTACACTTCCAATAATGCACCTCGCTAGTGCCCCTGACTTTTCAAACTCCGTGCCCTCATTTTGTAATCAATTCAATTAGTTTCACTTTATTTCACCGAAAAAGATTCCCTCAGTACCAACACTAATTAACAGGAAGTCCTTGGCACATGTAATATAATTCTATTTGATGACAGTTTCTATTCAAGTCTGAAGAATAATTGTTTAAAATGATCTTGTCATAGCCAACATTGAGACATAATTAATATACTAGGTGCACAGTGAAGAACCGTTACGCTTCCTCCTGGTATTGATGTTGACAGATTAAAACATACCACGGAGGAAAACAGAATACTAGTGCGATTTAAGAATAAATCAATTATGTTTTCCATGAAATGGCTCAACAAAACTGGTGTCTTGTACAGTGTGTGGCTGGACATAGATGTCTGAATGGCACAGTGGTGTACTTGTGTCCCTTTGAAAGGACTGTAGACTAATGTGGTCCCTTGGAGACCTGAGAACAAAGCATTTTTGGATGCAGGGCTTTCCAGATGATGTGACCCCGAACTCTTGGAAGCCTTTGCTGCTAGACCTCGACATTGTGCTCCTTAAAGTCGGCATATTTTATTACTTCCCCTTATTTCGATCATTCTAGAGGAAAATAATGAATCATTAAACACATGTCACACAAGAATACTTGGACCGGTTCGGTAACATCTTATAGGTTTGTTATTGCCTACAGTTTGAATTATTTTGTTTTCCGTCACTTTGGCACAGTGGACAGATGTAAACACTACATTACTAGTGAGCAGTAGGCATTTTGTGAATGTTCACAGGGGGGGGGGTGGACTTGGCTCGTTTCCTTCCGCACCTATATAGTTTAGAGAACCAAGATCCAAGACGAAATTGAGAGAAGTGGTCTCAGAAGAAAAAGTCACAATTGCATCTATCTACTACTTCAGCACCACGGACAGCACCACAGATGTATTGATACTCAGCACTGTTAGGCTTCAACCCCTCTGCAAGACACTTTCTCTGCTCCAAGGGGATTAGAGGATGGCAGGTTTATAAGGGGGATGCATTTTGGCTCTTTTATTTACAAGAGGGATGGCGGCCATCCCCCCTCAGATCGCCCATGAACCGTGGCATGAGCATTGCTAGGGAGAAGGGGCCAGTCAGAGGTGTGAATCAGAGCGATAGTGAATATAAAACACGCTGCCATAGTTCCTGCATTCATCGAACATCAAACCAAAAGTAACAACTGAATTGTTTAACCTGTAGATTGTTTTTCACATTTCTCAATATCAGAATTATTAGCTTCCACCTGCCGAAGCTACGATTAAATGTGTCAAAATGCACCTCAGGAGTTGTAGTTAACGTCTCACTTTATGTTTTAATGTATGCAGGACTGTGCCTTCCATAAAAACATAAATCTGATATTTGCACTGATGACTTAACGGGGAGGATTTCAGAGCCATTCAAGCAGGCTTTTAAAAAAAACAGCCCAGGATACGTGTTAGAGTCCACACCCACCGATTTTCAAAGGAGCCTTGCAAGCAAATGAGCACTTTCCCAGCACGATTCAAGAAGGAAATGCTTCCTGCTGATTGAAACAAGTGTGCACTTCCCTTTCAGCATGTCCCTGCTACGACATATAAAGCTCGGTCTGATTGGGTTTGTGGAAAGAGGCGATAATGATCCATTGCTTTAACAGAATGACTGTTTGCAGAAAAGCTTAAGGGATTTGAACGGGCTGTTAGAATCCCTGGAGAGCCCATTAACTTGCTATACAGGTGGAACAAAAGCTCACTGCTGAGTCACTCAAAATCTGTCTTAAACACAAGAAAGCAGCATGACTGTGCATTCCTGGTCTGCCTTTAGCCATTCTCCTGTTTCTCCATTGTTTCCTCTCTCTCCAGAGGATTTTTGCAAAACGTAGAACATATTATTATTATTATATATTATTTACTTTTTGCTGCAAAGTTAAGAAATTGTTACTCTTCTCTTTATTCCCCGTCTCCATGAACCATCCTTCTTACTCCATCCCACTCTAACTTGTGTAACTACTATCTTCTGTCTTCACACTAACAGCCAAAATGCTGAGTCCTCATGAATCACCTCTATCCTGTGACCATCTCTCTTATCTTCCGTCCCTCTGCCAAATATTTACTTTTTTCCTTGATCCATGGTAACATCAAAGTTATATATATATACTCTCATTATCTCAGTTGATGAATCCCCCACCACCAACATTCTGTGGGTGCCTCACACACAAGAAAAGGAAATCTCATTTCCCACAATGTGAGAGCTGAACATGATGAGTGAGCTTTTCTATATTTCTAGACGAGGAGTGAGGTAAATCACATCCTGGTCGCACGGGGTTAGAAAATCGGATTTCCTCTATTCCTGTGTGTCGCTGAGCTCAGACTCTTCACTGCTGAGCCCTCGCAGGCTAACGACACTGATAGTGTCATTCTGTCACAAGTTCACACCTTTGTCTTTTAGATACAGGACACACTGTCAACCATTGAACCATTGTAGATGCCTTTTTCTCTCTCCAACAGCAATGCTTGGACATTTTGGTGCAGCACAAAAAAAAACTGCTTAATTTACTGTGTTTTCATCAGCTTGGACAAAACCAAATCCATCTGATCTTTAGCAGTCACGGTGAAGAGAAACAATTGGCTAGGAGGTTGGTGTCAGAACAAAGGTCTTTGGCAACCTATATCCTTCTGGGTTGTGTTCAGCCTGCTCTCACCCAATGGCATACGAGTAAAACCTCAATTTGTAAGTAAAAAGCCTACATTGTTTAATAACGACATGCAGAAATGAAGTTCTATTTACACGCCATCGGGTTGGGTGTGTTAGGTAGTTTGTTTGCGTGAAGAGCATGTGGGCAGAAAAGTAATCTAACATATAACTTGTTAGATTTCATATAGGGTGAGCAAAGATGTGAAAAATACAATACTTACAATATTAAACTAGTTACATGTATTGAACGACCTGTCGTATCTGTACAGATCCAATATCAGTGTTTTCATCAATTTAAAGTGACACAAAGTAAAGCTTAGGCTGGGAATGTTCTACGTTTTGCAGATATTTGGTCATGAATTAAAGTAAAGTACAACTTGAAATTTTGACCTGATGATGGCACTAGAGGAAAAAACCCAAAGTGAGTAGGGTTCATCCTCTGGGGAACATGACTTTCTGTACCAAACTTTGTGCCAATCCATAGATAAAGAGATATTTGACTGAGAAGACAATCTAGACTCCCTGGTGGGAGGAAAATGAAAGAGGCAGGGGGTCATCAAAATCATTCGGGCTTGTGTACAAGGCACCCTGGATATCTGTACCAATCCATCCAGTGGTTGTTGATACGTTTCAGTTTGCACTGACTTGATATCATCCGTACTGCTGTATAGCTAGAGTGTAAAATCATCTCCAATCATATTTACTGGACAGATATTTTTCAATCTTGTAGAATATCCAAAGCTTTTGAATCTCTGAACAATAATATTAAATTACCCAGTGTCGTTATCCGATTCTCAAACAAATCTTTGAAGATGACTAAGATACTGAGTAAATGACCAAAATGTCTCTTTTCAACTCAGCTTTACTGATATGACATAATTCACATGACAGAAGCATCTAAAACCTTTTTATATTGGGTGATGTTGCTTGTTCCCCTCAGCATGCAACAGCACTCGGCACTCTGATCCTTCCGTGTCTCTCCGACCACCACTTAAACTCATGTGTGACCTTACGTAGTTCCTCAGACAGGCTCATATTATCACACTTGACACACAAGACCTGTTCCACCCTCGTCCTGCTCCATCTCCCCACTTTGACCGGCTCTTTCTATTCTTACTACCGCCATGCTCCTTAGCTCTCTCACACTACACTTCTTTTGCCTTCTGTCCATCTTTCTCACTTTCACTAATGTTCAGCTTCAGCTAAGTGGTCCTGCATGACTCCACACTCCTTGCAGCAGAAATCTGGTAAGAGTGGAGTGTGTGTGTGACAGCATACCAGTGTTTCTGTGTGTCCTTGTATGCCTGTGTGTGACATCCGTCTGTGTACTTTGCTTGAATTTGTTTTGAAATGCAACTCTATCCAAAACCTGAACTCCCCGAATGGGCAAAAGGATTATATCACCTGGAACAGTGCGTGTGTGCATCTGTGCGAGTGTGTGTGAGAGAAGGCAAATACAATAAAACACACACATGAACACACTTTATAACGCTAGCCAGCAAAGCCAGGAGCCGAGTGAAGAATGGTACCTGTCAGGAGAGGAAGAGACAGGAGAGAGGAGCGATAACAAGAGGCTCAGGGAGGGGGGAGGGGGAGAAAGGATAGAAGATTATGGCTACATGAAGGAAGTCTAATCGAAACGAGGGATGAATGGATGGTGGGTCGGGGGGGGCGATGGAGGAGATGAGACGAAATGAAAGTGGAGAGGGAGAGCAGGGAGAGAAAGCAGACAGGGTGATTAAGAGAAAGACGGGAAGAGTAAGAGAGAATGAGAAAGAAAGGAATGGACAGATTAACCGAGGGAAGGACAGAAAGGGGCGAACAGACAAGAGGAATGGACATCTGCAGCCCCACAGGCAATACAAGGAGGTGCTCCACCTCCAAGTAAGAGACACTGCACGTGTGTGTTTTAGGACTCTGGAGGTGAGTGAGTACGTGTCTGTAATTGCAAACGGAAAGTGACAGAGTGGGTTAGGTAATGGAGAGACGGAATATACACACAAATACAACTTGTCCTTCTTATATTGAAGAGCATTTTGCGACGGATGAAACTCTGCAAGAGAGAAAAGGGGAGGAAAACAGAAAAACGGAGCACGAGATAAATGCAGAGGAAGAGAAGAAAAGAGGCATCGGAGAGTCAGATGAACTTCAGTTCCAGCTGTATGCATGGTCAGGACTGTTTCAGGTCTGTCGTATAACTGAACTGAATTAGACTGGTTAATTATGTCCAAATAAATAGAGATGAATCCAATTAGTTAATCAGTAGAACATTAAATGGAACATTTTGATTAATTTCCAGCTCCTCAAATGTGAATCAGTCTTCAATGAAGATGGATTGAATATCTTTGGATTTTGAGCTGCAGGTGAGACAAAACAAGACATACCATTTTGAGAAAATGGCTTCAACTCTCATATCTATCCGTGCAACATAAATCTGCAGCCAGTTAGCTTAGCTTAGCATAAAGACTGAATAAATGATACAGACATACATACTGAACAGCTAGCTGGCCTCTGTCCAAGGAAAACACCCCCCCCCCCCCCCTACCAGCACCTCTCAAACTATACAGTGTAATCTACACTTTTTATCTAGTTCGTTTAATTATTAAAAAATACTTTTGTGAAAAGGGAAAAATAACAAATTGTGGTTTTACGGGACCTTAAGTGCCGGACACTTTCTTGACTCGTGTCTTCCCTGGTTGCCTGGCATTCTCACGGCAAAGGCTTCACTTCAGGCACTTCAGAGAGTGGGCTCAATCTCCTCATCGTACTCACAGCATGGTCGCGCTGTATCCCAGAGCTACCCAAAATGTCAAACTGTTCCTTTAAAGATATCATCAGCAGCTTGCGATAGATATTTTTCACTATTGCTGACATTTTATAGACCCTACGGTGATAAAAAAATAATCTGTAGACTACCTGAGATTGAAACCGATAATAAAATAGGTAAAATAATCATTGCTTGCGGCACTAAAATAGTATACACACACACATAAATATATATATATAGATTGCTGCAAGCAGGGCTGCAAGGCAAAGCATGTGGACATTGAGAGTGGCTGCAGAGGTTTTGTGGAGAGATAGCCATCAAGAACATCACAGAGGGCAGCGGTGAAAGCCTCGAGGTGGATGTGGATCAGGAGAGGAGGTCCATGGGGAGGAACAAATGCCCCCCGAACACAAGTCGTGGTCTGATCAAACATGGCTGGGTCGCCTGGGCGAGGGCGTCTGATGTTGAAAGACCCGAAGCACTCACTGACCTATAGGTTACGTCACCGACGATGTGTTCAGGAGCGTCGGAGAGATGCATTCTATCAAAAAAATGTTCTGTATGTATAAAATAAATAAGTCCCTTCAGGATTAGAAGAGATGAATTATTACGATTATCATGTGAAAAAGAGTTGGTCAGGTTTGAGGTCGTACTGGTCGGGCGGTATTACAACAGTGTGGTCCATTCAAGAGCACCACTACGTGACCAGGAGGACGATGAAGGGGAAAAAAGGACTGGCAGGTGTGCATCAGCCGATGGGTGCAGAATACATGACGGGGTGTTACAGAACATTTGTCTGCAGCTCACCACTCAGCTGTGTATCAGTTGTTCTCTTCTAATTTTCAAAGGTTCCTTTACCAGAGAGACTTTTCAATGTTTTCTTGAATTTGCACTCGCTGCTCAGCAATGCATTGTCCTTCACCCACAGCTCTGAGCTTCAAAGATGCAGCCTTTGGTCAATATATATACCTTGGCTGCTCTGCTTAGCGCCTGCGCAGTGAGTGGTCCGTCTGCTTTATATCTCTATCTGACAAGCACACCCCCTTCTCCCTTATCGACGAGCAAACTGTGTGAGAGACGCGGCCATTCTCGAGCTAAAAGGATACAACAGAGAGCATAGCAGGACCCGGAGGCACATTAAGCCAACATTGCCTTGTGCAGCGAAGCCCACCGAGTGAGCGTAAATTGAATTGATAGAGTTTGGGGACAGGAATTGATGAGGAAAACTGAGAGGGGCAAAGAAAATAAGGTGAGAGGGGACCAGAGAAGGAAAATGGGAGAAAGAGACATAGAAAGAATTTAAAAAAGAGAAAGAGAGAGAGAGAGGAGGAGGAGGTAGAGTAATAGACAATCCCAATCCAGAGAGAGCAAAATAAGAGAAATGTCTGGGGAACAGATGTGTGTAAAGTAGCAGTGGAATGAGAAAGTTGGAAAAGAAGTGCGACAGTGCGGCTTGAGAAAGAAAGAGAATGCAAACTAGGTAACCAAATAATTACAGAGCGAGTGTGAACACGGTGGAAGAGGGATGAATCTATTACTCAGCTGTGGTGGTAAATAATGAAGGGAGAAGAACATGGGAATTAATGAAAGATAATGAAAAACAAAGAAGCAGGAATCAGGTGAATTTGGGCTGAGAGTGAAACTGTTGACTGCAAAATTGGCAATAGAGCTCCCTCTCCACGACTGGGATTAAAGTGTCCTTCAGGAGATCAACCCAGAACTAGTCCACTGGAGTTTCTACACAAATTTACATAGAGCACGGCAATACAAAGAATACAACTCGGTATCAGTGCTGAATAAAATGATCCTGCTGAAATAAAAGTCAAGTTACAACTCCTAAACCTGACACAAAATATGCCAGTTTACTGTAAAGATGTCTAACGAAAGGGAAAAACTATGAAACGACTGGTAGATAAGAAATCACCCACAGAAGTTGAGGAAGCCAGGGAAGGTCAAACAGACAGTGAGGCTGAAATTGAATCCAGACTGCACAGAATGGTGGATGTACCAAACCTTAATCTGGGATTGTTTGACTCAGCCAAGCAAAGAAAGAGGGCCAGCTCGGCAGAAACAGTCCGCGTGAGAGCTGCTAATGGAGCAATATCAAATACGTGCTGGATACGTCTCTGTACTGCAGTCTGTGGTTCCTATCGCCAGTGAAGACTGGTACCACGGACTGGCTAATGTGCAGACCTGGATACACTTCTGAAAATGAAACAAAATGAGCTCTGTCTTCATGTCTCACCTTGATGAGGTCCCCGAGTAGTTTGTTGGCTTCAACGTAGGCCTTCTTCACCAGCTTGAACTTGTTGCCGAGTCCCATGCTGTGAGCCTGCAATCAGCCACAGTGAAAGAAATAACAGTGTAAATTAGAAAATAACTATATTTTTATTACTCCAGTAGAGGAAAAAGTCAAGGTATTTTGAGTAAAATCTGCAATTTAAGGCTATAATTATGGTCAAGATGGGCCAGTATGATAAACCACTGAAAACTGTAATTTGGTACATAGCGCATTCGCTCACCACTCATTAATATAAACGGGTCACAACTGGGGTACGGCATGATGCCTCATCACTGTATAATTCAGTCACTTTCAAATAGTCTGACATATTTCAGAGTGTGACTCTGCACAGTGCAGACACTGTCGAATCTATTTGTACTGAACGTACGATACAGAATTAACAAACACCAAAATAAGTTGTTCACGCTACATTTTTAGTCAGTTTCTGAAACAGTGCCTCTGATGACTGCACTTCCTCGGTTATTAGTCACACTGCTGACATCTGCAGTGGCTTTGAACAACCAAATATAAAACATGTTACTCGTGTCAGAAGTAAGGGAAAATAAGTATTTTTCTCCAGAATATTACTTGTTTTTAAAATTACAAGACTGTACACAAGAAAAATTGGATTGAACCATATTATTTATGTCAACAGTCCATAGATGAAACAGTCAAATTAGAATAGAGGGTGCGCAGACACTTTCATCCCTTAGGACCTAAAACGTGGCAAAGAGCATCACTTACACAAAATACAATAAATAAATGGCCAGAATAGGTAACTGTACCTGGAAGTGAAGGTTGGTGTACTGTCCTCCCGGTATCTCGTTCTCATAGACATCAGCGTTGCCAGATTTCATGGTGGCAGTGCAGTCGAATGGAGCGTACAGGCCTCTGGCTACTTCCCAATACTCGCTGTAGTCGAACACCTTCTCCAGAGCAATGCCTGAAGCAGAGCAGAGCAACATGTCATCAAATCAATGGCCACCACGCACATTTTCTATTCATGAGAATTGACAAAAATGATCTACTGAGCTTGTTATTCGTCTGAAGACAACAATTTAGCAACTAATGCAAGTACATTTTCGTAATATTTGTGTGTCTTTATAGAAATGTAAAGCATGGGATATGGAGAGATGTGGGGGAATTTAATTATATGCTGTATTGGCCACGATTTATGTGTCTCAAAACAAAGACGTTGTGACAGCAGTTTATGCTGTTGATTTTGATGTATGGAAATATAAACATGATGTGAAACTTGTCAGAGTTTTGACATTGTGCTGAGTTTTTTAAACATACAGTACTTTGTTCTACCCATCTCGTTTTTAATGCTCTAGTATACCACGGTCCTATTTCTCAAACCAGTCAGCAAGAGAAACCAAAATGTCAGCAGAGACATTTATAATCTGCCAGGAGCTCACTTTTTGAGTCAGTATAAATGTGGGACTTAAAATGGGTTACAGGCCGGAAAAGCTTTAAAGCTCACTTATTAGCCTGTAAGAGCGCATTTTCATCTTGCCTTTGGCGCTCATTAAATCCTTGTGATATTTTGTGATCCTAAAAACAACAACAACAACAACAGCAAAATATCTGTTGCTCATATTTATGACATTCTGCTACAGCCATGCTAAAGCGCATTACGTTGAAAGGACAAATCTGTTTCAATGCCATGACAGAGATGGCAGTACACTGAGCTTTTGGCTAATGATGACAACAAAATCAGCCGCGTTAATGGGACAAACTTAGCTCCCTTACATCCACAACAACAGTGTGACAAGCTTGAATTTCCATGATTCAAAGAAAGTACTCCAAAAAAGTGTTTGTGTGTTTCCACTGTGATCTTGGCGGGGAAATGGAGCTAGTGTGATATTAATGTGAAACTAATGTGCACGTTGTTGCTCTTCAAATTCAGCTGCCTGCCAAAGCCAGGCAGTAATTAGGTCCATTTCCTTCTCTGCTTGAGAACCAATTCTGTAGCTTTCATTTTTGTGTCCATTGTGAAATTACAGCCTCAATTTATAAGGGGAAGTGATGTCGAACGTGACAGCATCCACTGATTCAAATATCAGCTCCAGTGAAGTTTCACCTCTTTCCAGTACCAGCTGACCACCTTCTACTCCACTTCCTTTACCAATAGAATATATGAGATTATACGTATGTACAATTTGTAGTCGCAGCAGTGAGTAAGTTCTCTCAGCTGACAGCAACTGTCACTGACGTGTGAAACAAAACGCTAATGTGGGATTCTTTTGTGATGGATTGGTAAATATTAGGGTAAAATGAAGATTCTTTAAAATAAGACGTACAGTAGCTTTCTGCCAGTAACTGACAGATAACCTCTACTGAGGCTGTGCTGGAAATACCTCAACATGACATAGTACACATTCGGCCTGATATGGTAATCAGGAAAACGCATCAACTTGGCAGAGTGAAGCCAGGGTGCAAATTGTTGTTTTTTTGGTGGATTTTACTGAATTTGCAGATACGCATTTTCATCATACTGTAAAAATAAATAATGGTGTATTCTTCAGAAAATGTAACTCTACCCTGGTATAAAAAGGATTTTCAATCATTAAAGGAATAGTCAGACATTGTGGGGTCCTTTATGCTAAGCTAAGCCAACCCAACTGGCCCTTCGCTCATACTGAACGGACAGATATTAGACTGGTACTGATCTTCTAATCCAAGGCACCACGAGAAGACAAAAAGGCGAAGTTAAAGGAATAGTTTCACTTTTTGGTTAAGTACAAGATTGAAATACTCCTATTTTAATCAAGTATATCTATTTTATGGCAGAAGATTTTACATAAAAAACAATTGATATTATAAAATACAATATATTGCTCAAGATTTAGATTGTCTAGTTAGATAGATAGATAGATATATACTTCATTCATCCCCAGGTTGTATGTTACAGCAGCAAAGATTTCAGAAAACGAAGTAACAGTAAAAATATTAAGTATGAATTGAGGCCCCTCGTCATATTTCAGATATCTGCAAGTTGTTAGCAGTTTCATTAAAGAGACATTTCACCACCACATATCTCTGTGATGCATTGGCCCACAGCGCACAGCAATAATAACTGTGACTGTAATTAGATTATGAGATATTACCTTCAGAACGATTTTAGATATCAGTCACAGGGGCCATTTTTCTGCAGTACATGCTGATGTACCTTTACTAAGGTAACATTTTGAATGCAGGACTTTTTCTTGTAAAGGAGTACCGGTATATTTAGATTGTCGTATTGATACTTTTACTGATGTGAAGGAGTTGTACACAGGGAATGAAAAGAGCACCTGCTAAACAGAGGGTGAATGTTGGCTGTGGCAGGTAAAACTTCCAGGTCACCGGCCTACATGGCAGATATGTTTTCCTTATATGAAGAATCATTTTCTTTTTGAAAGCAATTTCTAAATGAAAATGAGTCTGGCATTAAGCTTACATGATGTATTCCATATTTGTCCCGTCTGCTACCATAGACTTCAGAAGTGGCAGACAAAAAACTGAGTGGTTGGCAGACATGTTCAGTGACCGGCCACAGTGGCAGGCAAGGAAAAATAACTATTTCAGATCCTGCTTGTAAATGTATTCTAGAGTGCGGTTTGAAACCCGGGCCTTTTGGTGCGGAGGCAGCTGACCTACAGCATCTGCCTGAAAAGATGTCCACGAGCAAAAAGGCAAAAATCAGAAAGAGAAGTTGAATCTTCAATTATCAGGAAAGTGCTTCGGCGAGGACTGATAGCAGGAGCGTGTTTCTCAACCAACCGGAAAACTCAACATAATTAAGCGAGCACAACAATATTGTGTTTTATCTTCATCATTTTCTGCTGTTGTGATGACCTAACTTGCCTTCTGGGATGAAAAGGTGTATTTCACCCTGTATTCTATAAATATGAAGCACAGCTACAAACGCTGTGGATTTTGACATTTGCTAAATCACGCTGGAGGGAAATACGGCATTGTTTTCTTCTGGGCTGCTGGTTACATCAATCACTCCACCACTTTACCATGTGTGTATATATACACCACAGACACGCAGGTACACGAGCACATGCAGACACATATGTCATTCAGATGGCTGCTTGGCGGTGACAAAGTGCCATCAATATACAACCCATTAGCAGCACAAACTCACTACTGCAGAACATAAACAGACAGAGACGCACACATATGTGCGTTGGTAAGCTTCATACGTGCATTGTTTACACAGACAGATGTAGAAAGACACACACACACACACACACACACACACACACACACACACACACACAGACACAGACACAGTTTGTGTTTGCTGAGACGATGAGAGCTAACCAAGACGAATAGATGAAGACAGATGAGCATGGGAGAATTCATGGAGAAAAGACGGGAAAATTGAACGCTGACAGATGAAGAAAGAAAGAGATGAGGGAGGTGAACAAGAAGCTTAATGCGTTGGCTCGCCTGCTCCGCCGTCTGGGGTCAGTGCTTGGCGCCTGCGTATAGTAATATCCATGCTTCGTGTGGTTCGTGTACAGCCCTCTGTGTGCCTGATGACCGCTGCGTCTCAGACTGCTACATTGTTGTGGCAGCTGAAAATTCCACATCAATAAAATCCACGCATGATGCAGTAAATGCCGCCTCAAATAAACACAAGGACCAATTAAATGTGTGTCATCATTCAACAGCATGCGTGTTGTTGAATATGTATGGCTTTTGAAATGCACGAGTGTGTGTGCACGCACACCGTGTCTGACTGAATAAATAAAGTGGCAGCTTAAAGACAAATGACTTAACGGGAGAAGCGCCGTTTCTTCGGGACAAAGGGGTATTGTGGGAGACGCTGGGGGAGTGGAAGGGAAAGAGCAAAGAGTGAGGGAGTTTGAGGGAGTGAAATAGGCATGTAAAGTGCTGTTAATTGCTTTGTCAATGAGTGAGAGGGAGGGAAGAGGGAGGAGGATGGAGAGACAATGTGAGAGAAGCGGGGGTGATAGGAAAAGGCAGAGCAAACTGCACAGCACTGATTACTGCTTTGTAACAGAGATGGGAGAAAGTGGGGAGGGGGTGAGGGAAAGCAGTAAACAGACTAAGGTCAGACTAACGAAGGTGTGGAAGTATCCAAGTGCTCTGCTTGATTGCAGAAGTAGTGCGATAGAAAGATGGAGGTGGAGGGGGGGGGGGGGGGAAAAAGAGAGGCAGAGATGAAAGGAACAGACGAGCACAAAAGTTAAAGGTGGAAAAGAATTTGGAAGGAGTTTGTCGGCATGTGTATGCATAATACATGTACCAAGGCCACATCAGGACACACTAAGTATGCACACGTGTGTGTGTGTGGGTGTGTGCGTGGGAGACATCCTCCCGATTTCAGTCGCAAGTGAGTAAAATTGAAATGCCATGAATAAACTGACAAACTTGAAAACCTCTTGCTCTTGAGTAATGACCTTGTTTTTCTCTCGCTCTCTCTGCTGTTTTTTTCCCCGGGAACTGTAGGCACATAAATTGATATTCCGTCACTAACTTGGACAGTGTTTAAATGATGAGAGTTCCTCTCCCTCGGATACTTTTGATGCTTCATAGTTATTTCAGAAATGGCCCAGAACAATATCTGCCAGCTCGAGAGAACGGGCGTGCAGCTGCTTGATCACCTGAGGGTTAAATGTGAAGACGTGAAGAGAGCAGCAGGGAAGTCGTTTTCCTTTCAAAGCACAGCTCACACATCACACTCAAAACACAACTTGTCTTGTTGGCCTTCTTGTTGTGTTGCTTTGTGGCCTATTACAGAATTGTCTTACTCTTCCGTGACACATTCTCCCCCCCCCCCTGTATGATTGTTTCTGCAGCAGTATTTAGCAATGAGCCTCGATAAGAAAACAATTCACTTTGAAGGATGCCCTGAGAGACCATCAACACTGATGTTTACTGTCATCCTCTGCTTTTCCAACACCACTGTAGCTGCACTGCAAAATACAAATGTGACATCCAATTGTCTTTCTGGCCACTCATCCACGGATATTAGGCGCTAGCAACTAAACTGACCCAGAAATACAAGGAGCATTGCCTGTTTTTTTAAAGAGAAACACCTGCTGTAAATCTTGTTTTTGTTGACCAGTGGATTAACTGCACACCTCCTGATACCGACCCACCCTTTAACGTCTGGATGAGATGCACCGGGCTCTCAAATAACTCAAATGTAAACCCATCTGCGTCAGCATTAGACCTTCAGAGCAAGTGATGTAGTGTAAAGATTGAGAAGGTCTGCGTCGGGCGGGTGGGAGTGGAAGCTGTATGAGTGTGAAACCAAGACTACATTGATTGATTTTACCTTACTTCTGTTACGTAACCTATGTACGTAACAAGCGTTCTTACTTACATAACAAACAGTTAGCCTTACAGCCTTTAACTTCTGTTACCTAAACCTAACCGAGTAGTTTGTTGCATCAGTAAAAATGAAATACATCCACATTGGAAGTTTATTTTGAAAAGACACTATGCATGCAATGAGCTAACCCAAGCTTCACTATGTTGGACGTGAGGATGTGTTGGCTGCAGTGATGTAGAAGTGTACTCCAGGGTGTGTCAGGACACTATGACATCACTGGTAGGTGTGGTTACAGGTGGTGCAACAGCAGACACTTCTGACCCAATTTCATCACATCAGCCTGGAATTAAAGTTACTATTTAAACCGTTTCAATATTCTGAGGTTCGATGACGACGGATACCAATTTTCCCATTTATTATACCAGGACCGGCAGAAACCACTCCAGACTGTGTGACGTGGTTTCTATGAGAACGCATGAATAAACATGCAGAGGGTGTAAAGAGAATTTGGGAATTAGTTTCCTGTAAATATTTTACCATGGGACACAACCAATCATTGACAGGCTTTAGTGAGGGGTGTTCTCTAAAGACAACATGATAATCAAAAACCGAGCTGAAATAATGTCTCCCTGATGGCCAGAGGCAGGAAACTGTCTGAACACAAGGAGGACATCTGCATTTAGATGGTACTAAACAGCTTATAATACAGATAGTGTCCTGCACTGCAGCCGTAGACTGTGCATTAGCTGTGTAGTTTGAATGTAGCGTGTACAGAATTAGCAGGTTGCTATTCCCGCGTAATGGAAATGAGCCGTCAGATCTAGTTAGTAGAGCCGAGTCGGTTTTCCCGAAAGCATTACTCTACATAACTATGTAGCAAACCACACATCAGTTTTAATTCCTTTAGCCTGTTTCATGTTCCTTTCATTTCTAACAGCGGTTTCTCATCTTGCTGCTTTAATATATTTCGCACCCATTGCTGTGGGAGGCCGAAGTCGCTGAGCCCGGCCGGCTATCAGAGGTGGGAGAGACAGATAGTGAAAATTACATTGAGCAGGACACACTGGACCACAGCAAACCCAAAGGGGGATGAACATGCTAAATCCATCTCCCACTTCCATCTGTCGACCTCCTAAGAAGGTAGAATAAAGCTGTGGAGGGCCAGAGTGCGAACGAAAGATCTCTGATAGAAGCTGGCAGAACGTGGGTCGGGGAAGCAAATGAATAATCAACAACCATGTCAAGGATGTCTTGGGAAAAAGCCCCTAAAATGCTCCATGAAGAACTGCTCGTTAGTCAAAATGCTTTTGAGCATGCCATGATGAATATAAGACCACATTATTCATGGTTACAACCAATATTTCTTTGTTTTGTTTAATAGAGCATCAGGTTTTGGTGCCCACGTCTCCCTTCAGTTTCCATCTTCCTCTCATAATTGGCTGTGTACATTATCACTGAGCTGGGCTTTCTGACTGAGGGCCATAATTAGTGATGTGCTCTGTCATTTATTGATTTGATGATTGATTTTCTTTCCCCCTTTAGTGTGAAGCAGGAGAGTCTCAAAGACACTGAAATCTTCTGAGCGAACCGTGTGATCTAAGAGACGTTCTGTCTCATTAACAGTTCGACACGGCAATAAAAAGCACCGCGCGGTGTTGTGCCAATTGATAAACTTACATATCGATTCTTCCTTTACTTTCACAGAGGATATATGAAGGTGTTTATTCCAACAAGTCTTTCTAATCGGCTCTTTTCTACTAAAATGAACTAATGAGACGAGAGAAATACCATTTCAGAGTGTTCCTATGCCCCCTTAAGTACCACAAATGTATAAAATACAAATCATTTCTTCTATGGGACCCTGTGATACTGTTGGTGCTGGCAGGTTGGTGAACGCGGTGCTTACCGGTGTCAAGATTGGTACCCTTGGTGCAGGCCACCATGGCTCCCATGCTGGGCTGAGAGGTCATCCCGGCCATAGAGTCGACCTAGAGAGTGATATTCAATATGAATACTGTTTGACTAAGAGCCTTGATCGTGTGTTATGTGGGTCCACGGCTTGGTGGATCAATGCTATATACATGGTTGATGATGATTAATAGGAAGAACGCATGAAAACATCAATTTCCCATCAAAAGAGACTGATTTGTACCTCCAAAAACCCTTCAGGTCCTGGATATCTTCCTTTAATGGTAATAATATATTTATTAAGCATAAACATTTCATTACTTGACAGAGTAAAAAGACAGCGAATGGGGCTGATACACAAATATGTTTTTTAGTGTCTGATCCACGCTCAGTTGTTTCTTTCATAAAATGCTATGAAAGAAATGAACAGCAGAATGGCCCAGAACTGCAAATAGCAGCCAATTGTTGTAATGTAGCTTCCAATGCCGGCAGCATGCGTCAGTGAACGCAGAAAGAGTTGTTCCGTCTGTCTCACTACATTTCACAATGCAAACTGCAGCAAGTGGTAGAAAATGTCTATGTTTATGATGAGTAACTCACCGCCACGTCCACTACGTCGGCTCCAGCCTCAGCACAAGCCAGCATGGCGGCCACGCCGGCTCCAGCTGTGTCGTGTGTGTGCACATGGATGGGTACATCCGGGAAACGGTCTCTCAGAGAGCCAATCAGAAGCCTGCTGGCCTGTGGCTTCAGCAGGCCGGCCATATCCTGGCAATTGAGAGGGAGACACAACGGGGTAGGGGGTAAAAGGATTGAAGGAAAAAGGAAATGGGATGTTTGACATGATTTGATATACACATATGCTAGAGGTTCCCATTCATACGTTACCAGGTATTTTCTCTTTCCCATCATTTAAACGCTGCTAAAACAGGTTTGCTTGGAATCCCTGACAGGGTATAAACTAACCCAGGAGTAGACCCTTTGCCAGATGTCTTAATCCTGTTTTTAAGTGGCTTTCTGTAACAAATCTCAGTTTTGGATATGGAGTCCTGGACTTAGTTGAACAAGATTGATTTCAACCACCTGTCTTAGTCTGCATTAGTGAGAGAGCGTGCACACAGCACAAGCCTGAGGCTTCTCATGAAAGCTGGAACAGACCACGGAGCGCCCATAATCTGGTGGAAACGGATGAGTAAAAACAGCTCCAAAACAATGGAAGCAGAAAGGAACATGTTCACAAACACAACACCAAAATCATTTAAGTAATGACAACTCATAAAGGACTACTTGCTGTTGAAACTCTCCAAATAATCATTGCGTCTTTGCTGATAAAAAGCCGACTTCTGAAGATAAAACTGCCACTTTTTGGTGTTAATTGAAGCCGTTTAATATGTTTAATCAATTCTACTAAAATGTTACTAACAACTACCTAATATGTACTGAGAAATGATAACTTGGAGCAAAATAATGACACGTGGAGGTTTTAAAGAGACACACTTGTTTGAGGATGATTATAAAAATAAAGCTTAAATGATATTAACAGAAAATTCACAGAGAGAGCTTAGATGTTTAGTTGCGCTCCCTCTGGTGATCATTGCACTCCATGAAGTTATAATTCATGCTCATTTCCTCTTTTAAATGTTAACCTCATTAGCTGTGCAGGCCTTTTATGAGATTGCCACTGCTGTGTGATGGTTCACACTTTAGTAGAGCGGGAGTTTATCATTTCACGTCTGAAAATATTCTGCCATGCATGAATAAAGAAATTAATTCAATGCGAGTATTATCAGTCTATTCATTTAGATAAGAGGCTCAAGCATACACGTTATTTCAATGGGAGCAAGAAACAAAATACTTTAGCGGTGTTCATCCAATGAGCAATGCCAGGTCTGAATTTATTCAATTTAAAATACTCTACTGGAGACCTGTGAGAATAAAAAGGGCAGCACTGAGCCATTCAAACCTCTGCTAGAACAAGGTGATTGAGTCCATATGTTCCCTCAATTATCCTAGCGTAGGCTTATTGGCAGGGTGTCATGGACAAAAAGCTTGCATATTGGTGTTGGTTTTACCCCTTTGCTCTATGCTTCTTGAATAGCCTAAAAGGACATGAGAGAATAGGTGGGAAGAAAGCTTAAAAATTGCTCTCACCTCAGCTAAGAGGGTCATACTGAGGCACTCGACATGGGGGAACAACCAGACCTACTCTGTGTGGTTCACAGCCCTATCAGAAACTGCCTCCTATGAAGGGCCATACACACAATAGATGGGAAAAATGGACACGTATACAGAAATCTGGGACCTATTTCTGACACAGATCAGGGAAAGTGTTTTATTTATTTATAGATAGATAGATAGATAGATAGATAGATAGATAGATAGATAGATAGATAGATAGATATATATATAGAGGTGCAAGTGCATAATAATGTAATAATTGAATATATAAATAACCTTTCCCTCCTTGTTCAACAGTTAAAACCTGAGGGTTTTTTTTTTAATTAAAATGCTTATTAAAATGCATTGATGTGCTTTGTGTAAAAGGGATTTTCTCCATGATACATTGGTGGAGTTGATTATTAGAACGCCAGTGGCTGAATGTCAGCCAACATTCTGGCATTTTAGTAGCAGCAGCACCAAAAGTGACAGTTGAAACATGAAAAGAAGTAGTACTGGTAGTTGTTGCAGTACAAGTGGCCACACTCTGCAGCTCGCTTACACCATTAAATAACCGTAATCGCATCAGGAATTTCATCAGTCAATTTAAATGTCTTACCTGCCGATGCCGTTTCACCTTAGATTAAACCAACAGCAAACAAGAAGGTTTATGTGTGCTGCATTAGAGTGTAAACAGCCAGTCTGTCAGTGCAGGCCCTGATTATGATGACATACATGTGTAGAGGACTGCGTATACGAGCCCGATTAGAAAAAAAACACTTGCAAAGATCGCTTTCAGCTGGTTGTATGTTATTCTGGTGGCAGATGGGCAGGGATTTCAGAAGCAAACAATAGGTGCCAGACTCTTTAGATTATCACGGGGAGGGAGAAAAATTGGCTTTTTTTTTTTGCAGAACTCGTAGCAGTAAACAACTCTCAGAGCACACACTAAAAACACTAGCTCCTAGCTTTACTTCCTAACCTTGATACAGAGGATGTGGGTTCCGGCTTTGACAAGCTCGTCTGCCAGGTTCACGTAGTAGTCCAGAGAGTACTTCTGCCTCATTGGGTCGGAGACGTCGCCCGTGTACGAGATGGCAGCCTCCACTACGCCACCTGCTGCTCCGGCAGCCTCCATGCCCAGCAGCATGTTTGGCAGGTAGTTCAGGGAATCGAACACGCGGAAGATGTCCATGCCGTTCTCCTTGGCCACCTCGCAGAACCTGGAGGAGGGGCGGAAGGAGGGCAAAACGATGTGAGCCAAAAGCCCATACAGTCGTGTACATAAAATCCACCCCAAATCAGAGTCAGAAATAGAATAGAGACCTCTCTCTCTCTCTCTCTCTCTCTCTCTCTCTCTCACACACACACACACACACACACACACACACACACACACACACGTAATGAGTTTGTCTCCATGCACAGTGTATCCCACATAATAGTGCATATCCGGGGTTGGGATAAGCTGTTTATATCCACCTCCGTATTGCCATCTCATGAATATCGCTGTACCTGCATTAATACAACATCCTCGCTATTTCCATGAAAAGTGAGCTAACACAGCCTGCAGGAGCCACAATGACTGGAGATGAATGTACACCCGCCTCATTATCCAAGCTGCTAGTGGTAAATCCCTCCTATTATTGCCTCGGCCTCGGTATCTTAATCAGGTTTTTCATAACTGGGGCGAGTGCTTACTGTAGCTGTGTTACTGTGAATACAATATTTACCCACACACAGAGCTTTTGTTTTGGCAAATAAACAGACACACTTAATGTTGTGCCACGAGAGGATTACCAGTCCAACGTCTGCGTGTCCGGTGTTTATTTAGCGCTACAATGCGAGTGCTCTCTAATGGACGCTGTTCGGCACCAAATCAGAAACACTGTTCTGTCCTACATATCTGACTCAGCGCTGATGTAATCATTATGTGAATCATGTTTATCAGAAAGTTGTTTTTCCATCAAATTAAGTGACAAGGAGTTCTAGCTCGCGATCGACCAGCCATTTTAGACATTATAAAATTGTACATCCCCCTTGCTGCAGAGTGTACTGCACTGTGACCCTGTGACATGCACTTTAAATCAATACAAATAAATTAAATGACACTTTGATTTGATATGGTTGATGAAGACACTTGGGCCACTTGGCAGCGGGGTTCTTGCTGCACTGAAGACGTCGAGGGTGAGAGAGTGACGGAAAGAAGGGAGGAGGGAGAGAGAGAGAGAGAGCTGGGCCAGCAGATCAAAGCCATTAATCACAATCATGTGCGCATTTTCGATGGCGCTCCCCCTACAGGACACTGAGAGTGAGGCGGGGTGGAGAGGGAGACGAAGAGCAGTCGGGATGGAGAGAGGGAGTTAAGAAGAGGGGAGGAAGTGTGTAATGCGGTGAGATGAATGGAGGCATAAAAAGGGAGTTACAAGAGTGGGGATAAATAATGACTATATGATAGGAGAGGGGGAGCAACAAAATAGGGAGGATAGGGGAGGTCTGTGTGCGTGATTCAATGGGAAGGAGGGAGAAGGGGACAGCTGCATTAGTCATAAAGCCACTCCTAATTTACCTGAGGTGAGGGGAATTGCACTGTGCATGTGTGTGTCCGTGGAACTGCATGCAGGTGTGTGTGTGTGCGCTTTTGTATACACGAGTCATCCACATCATCGAGGTAACTTGTGAATTCATTTGGAAAAGTTTTAAAGGCGTGTGTATGCATGTGTGTAGGCAGCGGGGTATTTATGGCCCTAAAGACATTTCTAGTGCACATCTGTATCAATGATGTGTGTACGTGTGTGTGCGTGCGAAATGTGTGGAACTCACCGAGCATGGTAAGAGGCAACAGGAAAACATCCACTGAATTGACCTGACTAAATGTGTGTGTGTCACTTGTGTGGTTTGTGGGTAGCTGCTGTTCAGAACATTTAGATATAAAGACAAAGCAGCCGTGTGGGCTTCATGCGTGGTATAAATAGAGACCGATAGTTAGAACATAAGTGGAATGAAAGGAGAAGGTGAAATAAGCATTTCAGTTATAAGAGTGAATACCAGGATTGATTGATTTCCTACACCACACGGTGTCCAGTACATATGGACTTTCATCACATCACTAGACAACAACAATCACTTTTATGATCATGTAACCGATAATGATGTACACATCCAGCTCTTTCAATGCATTTTGCCAAATCACCTCATAAAAACAACAATTCCACATATTACCTTTGGACAACAGTTAGTGAGGAACCAATATCTACATTATTGACATCAGGGCTTCATCAAATGTCATGTTTTTTTTACATTAAATGCTTCTATTGTGGTTTTCGAATGAAGCTTTGAATGTCTGTCATCATATTTCATGACATTATCACCCTAAAACAATGGAAAGAAATATGATTTTGTGTTATTGTGCTTATGTAAATGTCACATATGGTGCTGTTAGGTTGCTGCTAGACTGCCATGGTAATACAGGTGCGTGCGGGAGAGTAAACCATGTGCAGAAGCTGCCTTCAAGACAATGTTATGCAAATTGATGTTTGACAAAAATTCCATGTTTTCAACACACAAAAATTTGCAGTGTTGTTTTAAGTCTCTTGTTTGATCTTTGAAAAAAAGGTTTAGAATCTCAATGGTAAATGTTCTAGTAAAATGAATAAATTATTAATAACAAATGATGAAGTTGACTGTATTCTACATACTAAACACTACACTCAGCGTACATAGTATTCAACGCATGCATAGACAATGCAGATGAACCTATTGTGTGCAGTGACCTACATTCACAGCTCTACTTTGTGTGTGTCAGCGTGATCAGTTCTAGTGGAGAGAATGTATGGATGTGGAAGCAAATACAAAATCAGTTGTACATATTCATGATAAGACTCTCGGTGTTATGCCTGATAGCCCCTTAAACATCCGATTTGTTTCACAACTGGATTAAGATTTTAGAAAATGGAAGTATGAAATGTGCGCGTACGAGTGACTCACTTAAAGACGGCGTTGTCAGGGTAGTTGGTGTAGCCCACAGCGTTGGCCCCACGCAGCAGCATCTGGAAAGGAACGTTTGGTACCAAAGCTCTCAGCTCCTGGAGTCTCTTCCATGGACACTCCGACAGGAAGCGCAGGGCCACATCAAAGGTAGCCCCTACACACACACACACACACACACACACAGGTAGCAGTATATTATTAGCTGTCATCTGAAGTCTCATCCATCTTCCGAACTTTGATCTAAATTTTAGACTCCAAAATGAATATTTCAATCTCATCGCGTCACACACACACACACACACACACACACACACACACACACACACACACACACACACACACACACACACACACACACACACACACACACACACACACACACACACATATATATACACATACATATATATATACACATACACATATATATACAC